ACACACACACATACCCCGAACCTGCTATGTCAGAGACTCTGGGCCTGACCCTCCCCTCAATCTATGTTTTAACAAGCCCTTCTGGTTACTCTGATATATGCTAAAGTTTGAGAGTCACTGAACTAGATTATGTCTGAATTCTGTAGTTTTTGAGTAAATACCTATTAGCGGTTCTCAACCTGTGGGTTGCGACCCCTTTGGAGGTTGAACAACCCTTTCACAGGGGTCGCCTAAGACCATCGGAAAACACATGTATAATTACATATTGTTTTTGTGATGAATCACTGTGCTTTACTTATGTTCCATTTGTAACAATGAAATTGGGGGTCACCACAACATGAGGAACTGTATTAAAGGGTCGCGGCATTAGGAAGGTTGAGAACCACTGGTCTAGATCTATAAAAAGAAATCCTCTTTAGCAGGAAGAAGAAAGGACATTGAAATCTCGCATCATTTGATATTTCTAGATCCCAAACCTTAGAACCTCTGTGTATCCCTTTAAATAATTTCCGGGTCTATATTGCATGGCATGAAATGAAGATCCTTACTTCCATTAAAACGTGCTGTGTGCGTCTCACACCCACAGGTCTATAACACCGGGCCAAGCACCCTCCCCGGGGCATCCGTCAGCATCTCTCTCCCTAATCGACTGTCACCTGGAGGCGCAGAGATGTTTCACGTCCAGGAGGTGGTGGTGAGTTCTCCTTCGCTTCCCTGGTGCTTTCAGACTTGAACCAGCTCATTCCCGTTCTGTGTTCCACCCGAGGGCCCCGGAGGTTCACTCATTCTAACCTTCGGAAACACCTGGAGAAGCCAGGAGACCTGCAACACCCGAATGTTTACACTGAGACAGCGTGGTTCACGCCATAAGAAGACCTCTCTGGGGAGAGGTTGGGGTGTTGGGTGTGGATCTGACTTCCGGGGTAGACGTCACTGACTCGGGAAATCCCAGCAACTGTCTGCAGTCTTGACAATTGTCTGGATGCATTTTTCTGCAGGGAAGGTCCACAGCACCCCTAAAGCTTCTCAGAGCATGACGCATTGGTTCATAAAACCTACGTGCAGGTTGAAGCTCAAGCTTATGCAGAATATGCAAGGCTACCTGCTCCTGCGTCAACACCAGATGGTTCTGTCTCAAGAAAAGCCTGGTAACTAGCAGAAGGTCATTCCCACGGCCTCTTGACTTCCTTGGTTCCCAGGCCAGCACATTCCCTTGGTTTTGCCTTTCTCGCTGGCTCTTCTCATCTCCTCAACTTCTGCAGGGCCCAGCGTCTCCTTGTTTCTACACTCGGTCTCAGAGATCTCAGCCCGACCCGTGGCTGTCTATTCGGTCTGTGCCGGACTCAGCAAATACTTTGTACTCACCGTATGCCAAGCCCTGGCTTACTGTGGGGAACGAAACAGACAAAAACATCCCCATTTCCAGACCTCGTGAATATTCGGGTGGAGAGAGACAAATAATGCATAAATAAGACAGACGTAGTGTATAATGCCCCCTAGTAAACGCCATGGAGAAAAGTGAAGGAGGAAAGGACTGCTCAGCCAGGTCTCACTGAGACCTTCATTGGGGAGGGCTAGGGGGGACCGGCGCTGTCTAGGGAGTTTGTAATGTGATATTTGCATATGAAGGCCCTGCCAAGTCAGTTTCCTGAGAATTCTCTCTCCTTGATTTGAGCCCTATTTGGTTTCTCTCCTTGGAAACGCTGCCCCCACGCTACCCCGGCACCCCCACGCTGCCCAGCACAGTGTCCGCGTTGGACATCGAGGAGTCTGGCGGGGGGTGCTCATGGGTGCTCCCTCCGGGGGAGCTTTCTGCCTCAAAGTCGATCGCTCACTCCACTGGCAACAGCCGTTGACAGGAACACCGGTTTCTAAAGCTGGCTGGCTGTGGGGGCGCATTTTGCATGAGAAACATCCTGGGTTTTATGACTTGGTTGTGCACGGAGGGTAATTGCAACAAGAAGTCTCCCCTGCAGCAGGCCCGCTGGAGGCCAAGATTGAACTTGTACATAAGCCAGGCCTGGCACTTTAAAGCAGCCCGGCAACTAACCCAAAGCAGAATCGAACCACTCACTCCCCCGCTCCCACCCCAGCGTCTACTACTCTCCCCAATGATGAGCACACCCTCTTTTTTTCTCCTCCTCTACCCTCTGTTTTTTCGGTAAAAATTCAAGGACTCACCCTATCCCACTCGTTCACCCCGGGTGGGAGGTGCCTGTTATAAGAGGTCAGGGCTGAGGAACCCTCCCCAGGATGCAAAGTCCGTGGGTGAAGTGCATTCTTTTCCTCAATATCCTGTCACTTCAATGATGTCATGTAAAGTGAGCCATTCATAACACAGCTTATGCTGTAAGATGAGGGGATAAGAGAGAGATCATAAGAGACAGACAGACAGACATGGATGTGTTGTTCCACTTAGGTGTGCATTCCTTGGTTGCTTCTTTTTTTAAAATTGATTTTTTACAGAGAGGAAGGGAGAGGGATAGAGAGTTGGAAACATCGATGAGAGAGAAACATCCATCAGCTGCCTCCTACAACACCTCCTACTGGGGATGTGCCCTCAGCCAAGGTACATGCCCTTGACCGGAATCGAACCTGGGACCTTTCAGTCCGCAGGCCAACGCTCTATCCACCGAGCCAAACCAGTTAGGGCCCTTAGTTGCTTCTTGTATGTGCCCTGACTGGAGATAGAATCTGCAACCTTGGGCTATTGGGAGGACTCTAACCAACTGAGCTACTGAGCCTGGGCCTGATCATAATTCCTTTAATTCTCTTTTTCCTGTCCTAGGCCATTCTCTTTGCTCTCTCCATACAGTCCAAATAAATAAAAATTCAAAACTGAGCCCCACATAGAGATGCCTCTTTCCTCAACCTCTCCTCCTCGCAAATGTTTTACTCAGGCAGGTAGGAGCCCGTTAATCATTTGCGAACTTGCAAACTTCCACTCCTGAATATTTCTCTATGTGACCCTCAGACACCCTGAGGTTCGCTATAAAAAGAAAATAATTTTAAAAATCAACAAGGAGATCTTAATGGCCAAAACCATGAAGTCCAGAACCAAAACCGTGCACGACCCACCTTTAGGCCAATATCCTCTGCCTCCAACCTCATCCCTGACCTCGTCTTCCAGCCACTCTGGACCCTGAAGGCTTCTGAACCACCCACCAGGAGGTTATGGTTCAATTTCTGCTCAGGGCACATGCCCGCCCGGGTTGTGAGCTCAATCCCCAGTGTGGGACATGCAAAAGGCAGCCAGTCAATGATTCTCTCTCATCATTTATGTTTCTATTTCTCTCTCTCCCTCTCCCTTCCTCTGAAATATATATATTTTTAAATAAAAACAAAAAGGGCTAAATCACTTGTCAAACATAGAGGCTTCCAAGAGCAAATTTAAACTCCAAAATTTTGGTCAGAAATATGAGAACATCTCTCTCGCTCGCTCTCAATCTCTCCCCCCGCCCCCTACCCGTTCCCTTCTCCTCTTGTGTGTGTGTATATATATATACATATACACATATGTGTGTGGGTGTGTATATATATCTCCTCCCCTCCCTACACACACACACACACACAGTCTGCTGATCTCAGCCATGGGCTCAAATAATTTTTTTTTTCTTCTTTCTGCACATGCCTGAGTATGAGCTGCATAGCCAAGTTCCTGAAATGGGTCAGGATTAGGTTGGCTTCGACTTTTTTTGTTTTTCTCAACAGAAGCCAAACACTTAAAAAGCAGGGAGATGGCTGACGGAATTCTGGAGTGCAAGTTACGTTCCTGGGCCCTGGGCTCTGGGCTCTGGGCTGCATTTTGGTCCTGGATGGAGGGAGAAAGTGTGTGTCCCGGAAGGTGAGGCTACGCCTCAGCCTGGCCTGTTCTTGCACAGCGTGGTCCAGAGGTTGCCCTTTAACCCGCGTGGACAGAGCCCATGAATCAAGCCAACGGTGTCGTCTCCCGCTGACCCGGGCGCCGGCCTTATCAGGAGACCAGAGGCCTGTGGCCGGCCTGCAGGGACATCTGGAAGCATTAAGGCCTCCTGTGGGGTGTGGCCCCGCCGGATTGCCCATGCTTAGGTACCTGGTGTTTTCTGGCCTTAAAAGTGGCTGATGACGCAGTTGACTCTCCTTCGTTCCTTCCTTTGTTCCTTAAACGCAGCATGACAGGGAGCCCTGGCTTTGCAGGGTGACGGGTCGTTACCAAAGTCAGTCACAGGAACTCTCACTGAGGATAAACAGAGCCCATCGGCCATTGCCCAGAAACATGTATCCCCATTTAACCTGCCAGGACGAACTGGGTTGCTTCGGGAGCGCAAAACCGGGAGATCTCCTTTCTGACAGACACACCAGGTGTCTCCCAAAAGAGACTTTACAGCAGCGTCAGACACTGACAAGTAATTACCTCCCCGGCTCGGAGCCAGCTTCACTCGCCTCTCCTTCATAATCGAAACTTACCCCCTAAAGCATATTCCGGGCCTCCCAGAAGCCTGGACGCTTTAGACTTAGTGACTGACATGTAGCTTTCTCTTTTCACTGCTCTGATGACTGTAGTCTCAGAAAACCGTGTAAAAGGTTAGACAGATGGTCGCCCACAAAACGATGGGGAAATGACTACTTCCCTTTTCATAAAGGGGTAATAGTGAAGTGCCACACCTGGGAAACGCAGAGGGAGCTCAGTGAGTCCGGAGGTGTGCTGCTTTATCCTTTGCCGGAAGATGGGGCCAAGAGCTAGAAGCAGAATTGAAAGAATCCCATACAATTCCAAGGACTGTGTTTTTACTGACTCATTTATTATCCAAATCAGCAGACCGTTCTGCTCCCAAAAGCTTCATTATCTGTGGAAGGAAAACATTCTTGGCATGCATGTCAAGTGCTCAGATAACATATTCATGTCTCACTTTTTCGCTAAAGAGAGTCTGACCGCATCTGGAAATTCTTCTGTGTCACTGCTTCTCTGAAACTGCATCCCATCTGTATCACTTTAACTCGGGTACAAGGCCATGCTGGTGAAGTGGGCCCCCTCGGGGAGGCCGGTCTCCATCGGAGGAAAAGCAAATGAATTCTGTTCCGCAGGGCAGCCTGCTGGTGGCCCGCACACTTTGACTTTGCAGGGTGTCGGCCTGTCACAGCCAAAGGAAAGGGTGCTGGGGAGTGGAGAGGAAACCCCGTTGTTTTAGCCCAAACCTAGAGCTAGTGGTGGGGGTGCTGGGAGTCATTAGTTTATATCCTAGAAAGTGCGATTTTTTTTTTTACGAAATAATGGCAGACTCCTCAAAATTGTACAGTACATCATGTTCTCTTCTCCTCTGGAACATTGGTTGTGAGGTTTCGCCCCTTTATTTTCTGTTTCCGTTTTGGTCTCGGTAACACCCTGACCTTTCAGATCTAGGACAACTTTTCACGGTGGTGCTGGGCTTCAGGGGTGGGGCAGGGGGTTGAGGAAAGCAAGTGTTTTCTTTAAGAGATCGTTTTCAACTGGAAAGAGAGAGGACACCTGAAGTGCTTGTCTTTTCTGGCTTTTTAAAGGTCTTTCCCTTTCTGGAAATTAAATGACATGAAGTCATTCGTGAACTTCTTGCTCCTCCCACTCCATCCCCGTCTCTGCAGCTTTGGCAGCGAGCTGGTGTTATGGGCGCCCACTACCATGCTCTCCTTCACGCTTTTCAGTTCAGAACAGAACATGGCTCCTCATTTGAGGATCCA